AAATGATAATTCTTTCCATATATAACTTATACAAGTGCTTGAAATAGTTGGTAGAAAAATGATCAATTTTTTGGCAATTTTGGGGGAATACCCCTAAATTCATTTAATTGTTTTTCAAACTTAACCTGATGCGAATGAAAAGAGAAAATAAGTGTAGAATCATTTTATTCTCCTAGACAACACTTCAACATGTAGATAGACGGACAGATGGGCTAAAAAAAAAAACAGTTAAGCTTTTTTTCATGGGGAGATAGTACATGTATTCACTTTTCGCGCAAAGAATAGGTGTAAAAAGCCCTAGCGATCAACCAGTAGCGTCTGATATAGACATATTAAAAAGAAAGCGAATAAATCAGCTAATAACGGATATTAGTGACAGGGATAAAGTACGAGATCGTGCAGAATTTTTAAATAACCACCGCAAAAATTTATTACATTTGCTCAATGATTCAATGCGTCAAAACGAATCGAGTTAAATGCTCTAGAAGTTGCTCTAGAAAGTTCTATCAAAATGTTTGCTTTATTACATTAAACGATTACATTGCAATTCTAAATAAAAACAAATGTAATTATAATTGCAATAAATAATAATTCTGAACTCTCAGTGTGGGACCAGGGTACATTAAGTTTGTGCAGATATATGTAGCACCCTGAAGGAGTTGAGATAGGCCCAAATTTTACTTTGCCTGTCTGTGTTGTATTCTTGTGTCCAACCTATAAGTCGCAATTTCTGCGATATTTCGAATCGGACTGCACATGACGTTTCATTTTGAAAAGTCTTCACGTGAATCACTGTAATAAGCGAAGTGGTGAAAGATATTTAATGGTATCCTGCAGTTCATTATAATGTTTTTATTTGTTATAATTAGCAAGTGAAATTGTTTATATGTACACTTCGTTAAGTGAAAGTGTTTGTTAAACTGTGAAAACTCCAAACTATTAACTCCGGCAGTAACCATGCCTGCGTAAAGATGCAATGCTTTACTCTTGCTCGCCATAATCCTGCAATTAGATTGTTTTGAATTAAAGATGAATCATTATCATGATCATAAAATTTGGAAGTCTTGATCGCAAATTGATATCAAAGACCAAATGAATAGAAATTACTTTAATTTTTCTTCAATTACTTTAGTATGTAATTGCTGGGTTTTTTCTGTACATTTGCACATATATATATATATATATATACATATACATATATACTAAAAAAGACAGGAATGCTTTATAAACATGATGATACATAGGGAAACAATCAAACATTTATTGCATTCCGCAGAGGATATCTACTTCGCGTTTTCTGATTTCACACCTACTCTTGCCTTTCCTTCGGATTTCTTTCTTTGTTTTTTTTTTTGTTTTTGCGCACCCGCCCTCTGTATTTTCATATCAAAGTAAACCTTGCAAATTACAACAGCTGTAGCAGAACCATATATCCAGCTGCTACCATTTTTTTCCATCACTTCTTCTCATTTAACAGAACGGAAACAGAATTTGCACGGGTGCTTTGTTACTTTACTCTGCTCTCTCCATTCTCCACACATAGTACGTTTTTTATAAAGCAAGGATTTTGAAAAAAACCAGCCAACGGCTTTTAACCAGAAATGAAAAGCATTTCACAAGTGCTTCATGAAAGATTAAATTCGACTTGAAAAATTAACAAAAACAAATTAATAATTACCAAAAATTATAAAAAAAAGTTTAGTATATTAAAAAATTTTG